GCCTCCCATAGCTGCTGCCAGGCCCCTAATCTGCCAATCTGCCATGGGCCCCTCCTCATACCGCCTCCTCCTCATGGGGTCTGCCAGGTCCACAGTGCTGTCTCATGCCATGTGCCATGTGCCACTTTCAGGTCTCCTCACACACATGCTGCTGTCTGTTTGAATTTTTTGACATAGGGTGCTGGCAGATTACGGGCCTCCCATAGCTGCTGCCAGGCCCCTAATCTGCCATGGGCCCCTATATACCGCCTCCTCATGCTGCTGCCAGGTCCAGAGTCTGTCATGGGTCCCTGTACGGCCTCCCATTGCTGCTGTCTCCATCGCCACACTCTGCCATGTGCCACTTTCAGGTCTCCTCACACACTGCTGGTGTGTTCCATTTTTGACATAGGGTGCTGGCAGATTACGGGCTCCCCATAGCTGCTGCCAGGCCCCTAATCTGCCATGGCCCCTATACCGCCTCCTCATGCTGCTGCCAAGCCAGAGTCTGTCATGCCACGGCCTCCCATTGCTGCTGTCTCCATCGCCACACTCTGCCATGTGCCACTTTCAGGTCTCCTCACACTGCTGGTGTGTTGAATTTTTTGACATAGGGTGCTGGCAGATTACGGGCCTCCCATAGCTGCTGCCAGGCCCCTAATCTGCCATGGGCCCCTATATACCGCCTCCTCATGCTGCTGCCAGGTCCAGAGTCTCTCATGGGTCCCTGTACGGCCTCCCATTGCTGCTGTCTCCATCGCCACACTCTGCCATGTGCCACTTTCAGGTCTCCTCACACACTGCTGGTGTGTTGAATTTTTTGACATAGGGTGCTGGCTGCAGATTACGGGCCTCCCATAGCTGCTGCCAGGCCCCTAATCTGCCATGGGCCCCTATATATACCGCCTCCTCATGCTGCTGCCAGGTCCAGAGTCTGTCATGGGTCCCTGTACGGCCTCCCATTGCTGCTGTCTCCATCGCCACACTCTGCCATGTGCCACTTTCAGGTCTCCTCACACTGCTGGTGTGTTTGAATTTTTTTGACATAGGGTGCTGGCAGATTACGGGCCTCCCATAGCTGCTGCCAGGCCCCTAATCTGCCATGGGCCCCTATACCGCCTCCCTCATGCTGCCCAAGTGAGTCTCTTGCCCTGTACGGCCTCCCAGGTGCTGCTGTCTCCATCGCCACATGTAGACCATGTGCCACTTTACAGGTCTCCTCACACATTGCTGGTGTGTTCAATTTTGGACAAAGGGTGCTGGCAGATTAACGGGTCCCATAGCTCATGCTGCCAGGCCCTCTGCCAGGCCCTTATACCACCTTCTCATCGCAGGACTGCCAGGGGATCCAACGTCTGTCATTCCCTGTTGCACGGCCTCCCATGCTGTTAACAATGGCTGGTCAGGGTGCGGTAGACGTGCCACAGATTTCAACGGTCACACACCACTGCCCCTGTGTGGGGGCAGGACAGGAAGAAGAGGAGGAGGTAGAGGAGGACATTGGTGCTCAGGAATTATTGAGTGAAATGGCCCTATGATAGTGTGCTGGCAGATTACATGGCCACTCAGCGGACAGCTGCTGGAGGAAGCAGGAGCATCTGCCAGGCAGAGGACAGGCCTCCCGTGGCATATGCTGCTGCCAGAGTCAGCAGGGGAGTCCCCATGTCCTGCACAAATGCCCTTAGGTCTCCTCACTCACTGCTGCTGCCGACAGCCGAATAGTAACCATCAGACATGGGTGACTTGCAGATTACGGTCCCCCTTGCTGGACCAGGCCCGCTACCGTTGCCAAAATGGGCCCTTTAGGTCTCCTCACACACTGCTGAGAGGAGGGCCAAAGTCTCTCACCTATGTAGTCAGCTGGTCACTGCCTCCCTGCGCTGCTGCCATCCTCAAATCTTGTGGCCCCTGTGCGCTCCTGCATTTTAGGCGCTGCCATGGCACAGGGGAGGGTCTGGTAGGAGCACGTGCAGCTCCACCAGCACTGCTGCCAGTCTGCAGTCGAGATGAGTAGCTTTCTTCACCAGCGCAGTGGAAACGGGCCTCCAGCCATGCTGCAGCAGCAGCATCAATCTGCATCAGGTGGACCCTATACCGCCTCCCCCTCATTGCTGCTTAGCCTACCAGAGTCACTCATGCCAACCGAGGTAGACCCCCCCTTGCTGTCTCCATGGCAACACTCTGAAACTGCCCACTTTGGTCTCCTCACACTGCTGGTGTGTTTGCCCTTGACATAGGGTGCTGGCAGATTACGGGCCTCCGCGTGTTTAGCTGCTGCCAGGCCCCTAATTGCCATGGGCCCCTATATACACACCGTCCACCCATGGCTGCTTTGTGCCCATGTCAGGCTGTGGATCTAGTCCATGGGTCCCTGTACCAGCCTCCTGACATTGCTGCTGTCTCCATCGCCACACTCTGCCATGTGCCACTTTCAGGTCTCCTCACACTGCTGGTGTGTTCCATTTTTTGTGACATAGGGTGCTGGCAGATTACGGGCCTCCCATAGCTGCTGCCAGGCCCCTAATCTGCCATGGGCCCCTATATACCGCCTCCTCATGCTGCTGCCAAGTCCAGTCTGTCATGGGTCCCTGTACGGCCTCCCATTGCTGCTGTCTCCATCGCCACACTCTGCCATGTGCCACTTTCAGGTCTCCTCACACACTGCTGGTGTGTTGAATTTTTTGACATAGGGTGCTGGCAGATTACGGGCCTCCCATAGCTGCTGCCAGGCCCCTAATCTGCCATGGCCCCTATATACCGCCTCCTCATGCTGCTGCCAAGGTCCAGAGTCTGTCATGGGTCCCTGTACGGCCTCCCATTGCTGCTGTCTCCATCGCCACACTCTGCCATGTGCCACTTTCAGGTCTCCTCACACACTGCTGTGTGTTGAATTTTTTGACATAGGGTGCTGGCAGATTACGGGCCTCCCATAGCTGCTGCCAGGCCCCTAATCTGCCATGGGCCCCTATACCGCCTCCTCATGCTGTGCTGCAACAAGGTGGAATTCAACCCTACATATGTTAGACCGCCTTTACGAACAGCAAAAGGCCATCACAGATTTCCTGATGTTAAAAGCGGATAAAGTACTCCCCTGTGTAACTTAGATGTCAGCCATTGGCAGCTCATGCGGACACCTGCGCTTGCTCAGCCCTTTGAGGAGGCCACGCTATTCGGAGTCGGCAGGACTATGGATGAACAACGTCATTCCTCTTGCACGTCCTGGAACAAATGCTGTTAATAATGGCTGGTCAGGGTGCGGTAGACCGCACAGATCTCAACGCCACATGACCCCTGTGGGGGCAGGACAGGAAGAAGAGGAGGAGGTAGAGGAGGACATGCTGGTGCTCAGGAATTATTGAGTGAAATGGGTGGTTTTTCCCATTGCTCAGCGGACAGGAGTGGAGGAGCAGGAGCATCTGGTAGAGGAGGAGGAAGAGGAGACAGAGGACCCAGACGCACCGTGGCAGTATTTGTGGAGATAGGGTGCTGGCAGATTAGGGTCCCTCGCATTCCTTGGCACAAATGGCCCATAGCATGCTCGCTTGCTTGCGTACGACAGCCGAATAATAACCATCAGACAGAGGGATGACTTTTGGCTGTCCACCTTGTTGGACCCTCGCTACCGTTTCCAAAATGGTGGCCTTTTTCACACCTGCTGAGAGGGAGGCCAAAATAACGTACTATAAAAACCACCTATGTAGTCAGCTGGTCTCTGCCTGTCTGCGCCAACGTCATCCTCAGACACTGTGGGCCCTGTGCGCTCGCGTTCCGCTGCCATGGCAGCAGGGAGGGGTGGGGGTGGAGGAGCAGTGGCAGCTCCACCAGCACTTTCAGCTGCCTCAGTCTGCAGTCGATGATGAGTAGCTTTCTTCACCAGCGCAGTGAGAAACTACTAACCAGCCTCAGCAGCAGCAGCAGCATCAGGTGGACCTGAGCAGGACCTCAAACAACAGCCTTAGGCCTACTTGGACAGCACCCTGCCAACCGAGGTAGACAATCCCCTTGACTACTGGGCAACGAAACTTGACCTTTGGCCCCAACTAGCCAATTTGCCCTTGAAAGGCTGTCATCACCCGGCCAGTAGCGTGGTGTGTTCGAGAGCGCGTGTTTAGTGCGGCAGGGGTATTGCAACTCCGCGGAGGACACGACTGTCCTCACCCAAAGTGTGGAGAGACTCACGTTTGTGAAAATGAATCAGGCGTGGATTAGTCCTGGATTTCAAACCACCAGTTTCCTGACACAACTGACTAAATCCGCCACACTCTGCCCCAAACATGTGCCACTTTCAGGTCTCCTCACACTGCTGGTGTGTTTCCATTTTTTGTCATAGGGTGCTGGCAGATTACGGGCCTCCCATAGCTGCTGCCAGGCCCCTAATCTGCCATGGGCCCCTATACCGCCTCCTCATGCTGCTGCCAAGTCCAGAGTCTGTCATGGGTCCCTGTACGGCCTCCCATTGCTGCTGTCTCCATCGCCACACTCTGCCATGTGCCACTTTCAGGTCTCCTCACACTGCTGGTGTGTTGAATTTTTTGACATAGGGTGCTGGCAGATTACGGGCCTCCCATAGCTGCTGCCAGGCCCCTAATCTGCCATGGGCCCCTATACCGCCCTCCTCATGCTGCTGCCAAGTCCAGAGTCTGTCATGGTCCCTGTACGGCCTCCCATTGCTGCTGTCTCCATCGCCACACTCTGCCATGTGCCACTTTCAGGTCTCCTCACACACTGCTGGTTGTGTTGAATTTTTTGACATAGGGTGCTGGCAGATTACGGGCCTCCCATAGCTGCTGCCAGGCCCCTAATCTGCCATGGGCCCCTATACCGCCTCCTCATGCTGCTGCCAGGTCCAGAGTCTGTCATGGGTCCCTGTACGGCCTCCCATTGCTGCTGTCTCCATCGCCACACTCTGCCATGTGCCACTTTCAGGTCTCCTCACACACTGCTGGTGTGTTGAATTTTTTGTCATAGGGTGCTGGCAGATTACGGGCCTCCTATAGCTGCTGCCAGGCCCCTAATCTGCCATGGGCCCCTATACCGCCTCCTCATGCTGCTGCCAGGTCCAGAGTCTCTCATGGGTCCCTGTACGGCCTCCCATTGCTGCTGTCTCCATCGCCACACTCTGCCATGTGCCACTTTCAGGTCTCCTCACACACTGCTGGTGTGTTCCATTTTTTGTCATAGGGTGCTGACAGATTACGGGCCTCCCATTGCTGCTGCCAGGCCTGTAATCTGCCATGGGCCTCCGTACCGCCTGGTCACGCTGCTGCTGGGTCCACAGTGTGACATGGGTCCCTGTAACCGCCCATTGCTCCCACTCTGCCATGTGCCACTTTGAGGTCTCCTCACACTCCTGCTGTTTTCCATTTTGTCATAGGTTGCTGGCAGATTACAGGCCTCCCATAGGTGCTGCCAGGCCCCAAATCTGCCATGGGCCCCCGTACCGCCTCGTCACGCTGCTGCTGGGTCCCACAGTGTGACATGGGTCCCTGTACCGCCTCCCATTGCTCCCTCTCTGCCATGTGCCACTTTGAGGTCTCCTCACACTCCTGCTGGTTTCCATTTTGTCATAGGTTGCTGTATGGCCTCCCATTGCTGCTGCCTCCACGCCACACTGTGGCTCCAAACACTGGTTTTGGCCCCTGTGACTGACCAAATGAGTGAAGTGTGCGGTGATTCTAAGATCGACGGCACTCATCTGCATGTCATACTGACTGACAGTATTATTTCTCTTCCCCAGCAGACACTCCAAGGGCATTTAAATTAAAGGTACAGTGTTCTGCACTAATATTAAGTCTCTCTGAAGCCTAGAAACACCCTTTTTTAGTTAAATTCACAGCGAATATATTCGACTCGAATCGAATATTGTCCACGAATTCGCCGAATCAGTCGAATCGAATTTTTGAATACTTCGCTCATCTCTAGTAATAATAAAAGATGTATGCTTTTTTTTTAAATGTTACACTATCTGATATACAGTGTACATGTATCAATTACCTCAAAAGTCCCATTTAGGCATATAATTTTCTATGTTCTATGTGTTATACTTTTTTTTTTTTACCTTTTACTACTTTTTGGTGCATTTTACTATTTTTTGTTAGGAAACGTCAACTACAGTAAAAAAAATATATCTTTTGTTGGCTTATTTTAAGATGTTTCTATTCTATTTTTTGTGTTATTTTCACAACTTTTTCAGTGCATGCTTATTCACTAGAAACAAACCAAGGCTCAAAATACACTTAAAAGCAAAAGACACTCATGAGCCTTTCAGAGCACTTTAAAAAGCCTTAAGAGCAACCTTAACCACCTCATACTCTATTGATTTATCCTTCTCTATTGTGTTGTGTAGAAACTATGAAACATTCTTAAACCCCATACACATGTGCCGAATATGAAAACTGGTAGACTTTTGGACCACGTGTACACCAGTCTGTCAGACAGAACATGGCCAAACGTCCAGCTTCGGTCTAATGGGCATACTGGAAAACCAGCATCCAATTGGCATCCAATCATTGCTGGCAGCCAATTGCTGCGAACGCTGACTGGTGTGTTCTGGTGGGGGTTGGGGGCATTACCAATAGCTCAGCTGGAAGATCGCTGTACTAACATAGCATAGGGAAATTCTGAGACATGATTTAATCAGAACATTCTTTCTCGCCTCATTAGGGTTTATTGACTAAAGTCAAAAAGGCTGTTCAGTTCACAAAGGAATTTGTTCTTTGCAAGGGAATTTTCCCTTAAGCAACCAATACATGAGTGGAGGAATGGAGGAATCCATCTCGCTAAGCTTTTGTATTCTGACAGTGGGGAAGCTTTTAGAATATGCTGATTGAGTGGCAAAAATCAGGGTGGTTGTAAAGAAGTTGACCTGTAGATTGTACAGAAGTCAATTACCTTGCCCATACATGGATTGAAATTCTGCCATTGCCTATTGAACCAGCCATATTTTGATGTATGTCCAACTTTAGTGAATGAGGTGACACTCTGCTGACTTCTAGCATCTAGAAGCGCGGTAACCATTTCTGGTCGAATTTCCTACACAGTAACCCACCAAGTGGCAGTCCACTCTATGTTTCCATCCTGGCAGCATCAGCTTCAGGGAAAATTACAATGTGCATCAGAACAAAGCTGGGACCTTAGAAACTGGAAGATGCCTACCCAGTAGCAGTGCTGAGAGCTTCCCAGAAAGACAGTGGCAGCACAAAAAGTTCAAAACACTCTTCCCCTGACCTTTCCATGCTGCATAGCCCTGCCAACCAGAAACAGAAGAGGCATAAAAGAAGTCAACTCCCAGCAGTGGAATACTCCCTGGCTTCCCTACAACACAGCATCTTCTTTCATGTCCACATATAGAGAACTTCTCAATTACTGAGCAAACAATCTCTGCTGCCCCCTGAAAGAAATGTTCATGTCATTGAAATACTCACTGCAGTAGTACCCATCCACCATAGTTCGTAAATTAATTTAAATGTTCAGGACCTTGAGAATTGAGTCTATCATGCAGAAACTAGTATCTCATTACATCTGCTGTTGTCCTTGATCATGCTTACAGAGGGGTCTAGCTGGAAATGACTTCTTTAGAGAGTTCTTTAGAGAGTATTCTGCATCTGCTTAAGCAGCATAGATATTCCCAGGCACCCAAGCTGCAAGGACAATGCCATAAATAACAGTTTCTATGTGGACTGCCCATAAAGCAGTGTCATAACTACCAGGGTTTCAGAGGTTGCAGTTGCAACCAGGCCCTGGCACTCTGCCACTGTTGGGGAGCATCAGCTGACCGCAGTGCTTTGAGCTGATTGTCTCACACACAGTTCAGAACCAGCACTGACAATTCCTCTCACCCCTGCATGGACAGGAGAGGAGAGAGAGCTTATCTGCTTCTGATCCTCCTCCTCCCATCCTTCTCCTCCTGTGTCTGCCTCACCCACACTCTGTGGCAGTGCTCTGCTTCAGAGAAGGGGATATGTGGGCAGGATGTTTGAAGCCAGCAGTTGCCAGCCAGAATAGGAAAGGTGCTGACAATTAATGTCTGAGTATTTATCTTGGGGTAAGTAAGCTCACCCCCATCCCCTGTCCATGACTGAAGTCTCCCCCTCCCTCCCTTCTCTCTCCATCAGAGTTCCCCTTTACAATAGAGTCCACAGAGCTCTCCCCTTACAGTGTATGATGTAAGGAGGGCTGTGCAGACTCTGATGTAAAGGGGGCTCTGTGGACTCCAATATAAGGGGGGCTCTGCAGACTCTGAAGTAAAGGGGGCTCTGCAAATGCTGATATAAGGTGGGCTCTACAGACTCTGATGTAAGGCGACTCTGTGGACTCTGATATAAAGGGTGCTCTGAGATGTAAAGGGGGGGGGCTCTGTGTACTCTGATGTAAGGGGGGTCTCTGTGGACTTTGATGTAAGGGAGAACTCTGTGGACTCTGATGTAAGGGGGGCTCTGAGGACTCTGATGTGAAGGGTTCTCTGAGGACTCTGATGTAAGGGGGCTCTGGGAACCCTGATTAAAGGGGAATGCTAGGAACTCTGATTTAAGTGGAGGCTCTGGTTACCAGAGACCCAGTGATATCAGAGTTCCCCTTTACACCAGAGTCTGCAGTGTTCCCCCCTACATCAGAGTTATCTCTGTACATTTGAGTTCTCAGTGTTCCCCCTTAAATTAGTGTCCCCAGAGTTCTTCTTCACATCAGAGTCTGCAGAGTCCCCCTTACAGTATAAATGAACTCTGTGAGTTCAGATGTAAGGGGAACTCTGAGGAGGGGCCTTCATGGTTTCTAGCACCAGGGCCCTGAAGGTTCTAGCTACACCTCTGACACAAAGAATTGGTAAGACGTGTGTGAAAGCCCCTCAGTGAGTCAAGTATGCCAAGGATCATATTTTTAAAGTCAAAGCTGTGGTTATTTTTTCAGTGTGTAAGAATCTGAGCTGGCAGAGGACAGGCACAGCTGGGAAGAGGAGACTGTTATTACAGAGCTATGTGCAGCCTGATTTTAGCCCACCCACCATCTTGGAGAAATATAAGGAGGATGAGGATGTGGACTGCTGGGAAAGCTGGAAGGAATTAATGATTGTGGGAAATGTAGTTTCCATACTGATTAAGCCTGCTTTGTAGAGTGGGGAAGGAATTACACATCCCAGAGGCACTGACGCTCTAGAGGAAAGGGGAGGAAGATATGTTCTCAGGCAGAGAGATGAATGTGAGGAGGACATTCTGAGAGGCAGGCTGCATCTGGTTGCTCGCAGGCTGATACCACCACATCTGGGATGGAAAGAGGTACAGCAATGAATGTTCTCTAGTACCAGAGAACACTACTAATATTGACTGAGCCAGCCATCTGATTGTTGGGAAAAATTCTGCGGGATCACGTGTTATCACAGGAGTCAGTGAGAGGCCACTGGGAAACACCCCCCCCCACACACACACACACACACACTACATCTTGTTAAAGTGGATCTGCATTGCCCACATCGGTCACCGTGAAGGCACCTTTACCTGTGTTCAGAGCAACTTTATCCAACTTTACCCTTTATCCTCTATCTGCAATAAATGGAACGTTTTGATAAATTGCAAGTCTCCCCCAGTCCTGAAGAAGCGGCATTGCCACAAAAATGTGGACCTTTGAAGGGCACATGTCTCCTGATCAATTGTATCTTTTAATATTTCTCATGATTAATTGTATTTTTTAGTATTTATGATTAAATATGCATATTTTATGTATGAATTGATACGTATGGCATAATTGGTTTTTAAGACTTTATATTTATTGGGTGTTTTGAAAGATGCCTATAAATAAAATGTATTATTATTATTATAAACAAACCACATGTTTTTTTCCTATTGAGTTTAGTGTTTGTTTGGAGTTTGTAGTATGAGTTTGGTTTTATTTGTCTGGAGGCAGACTTCAAAGTACAAATATGGGAGTCCACCATAATTATTTATAAATGTATGAATCAGCAATGCACATATATCATCCAATTTCAGTGGATTGCCCAGCGATCTGTAAATCCCATTCTGAGTGAACTAATATGCTCATCTCAATTGGTAAGTTAATTTGTGTCTATGAGCATGGCTGTTATCTTCTTTCCAGACAAGACAAATGTAAATGTTATGGGCCAACAATATATAAATAATAATTCAGGAGGTATTTTAACAATTGTATAGCAACCAAAACGAATATGCTCTAAAAGACAAGGATTACCTTCATATGGATATTAAGCAGTGATTTCTGAAAAGTGCCAAGAAATGTTGACAGCTGTCATGAATCAGCAAGACTACCCTTTAATTCAGGGTTAATTTTATACAATATACACTGCTCAAAAAAATTAAAGGAACGCTTTCAAATCACATCAGATCTCAATAGGGAACAATATCATGCTGGATTTCTATACTAATATGGACTAGGAATGTGTTAGGAACATAAGAATGCCCCATCGCTTGATGGAAATGAAAATTATTAATCTACAGAGGACTGAATTCAAAAACACCCCGAAAATCAAAGTGAAAAAATTATGCAGCAGGCTAGTCCATTTTGCTGAAATTTCATTGCAGCAACTCAAAATGGTACTCAGTAGTTTGTATGGCCCCCAACATGCTTGTATGCATGCCTAATG